TGATGATATATGTCGGTGTACTGAACTATCATGCCTATTTATACTAAAGATATTTTGCATACCTTCTTGAAATACGAGATCACAGCAAGAAGGAAGCTATATTTACCGTGAGTAGCGTGCTCTCTTGGTCTCAAACGTTCTGTGTAAAGGTATTCGTTTTTTTCGCTTTCTTGCTCTTTGTAGTATATCTCTTTTCACTGTCCAGTAATAGTCAGCCATCATATTTACATTCCACCTTCCTTGATATCGACATTCCATTTCTCTGATATCTTGATGGAATCGTTCTTCTTGCTCTTTGCTATAATCACCGAGATTTTCTAGGAACCAATCGAAATGCAAATCCAAGAAATGTATCTTCAAATTCATCAGACATCCTAATTTCTTAAAGTTTTCAATCATTTTTCCCACCAATTCTTTATAATCTGGATTTCTGTGATTTCTTAAAAAATTTCCGACAACGTTTTTGAAATTAAGCCATGCTTCTTTTTCGACATCATTCATTTTTGTAGCAAAGATCCCATCTTTTAACAATGTATGAATCTGAGGGCCGTTGAATATTCCTTCTTTCAATTTAGCGTCAGAGATGTTAGGAAACGTTTGTCCTATGTAGCGAAAACAATCACCTTCTTTGTTTAAAACATTTACGTATTGCTTCATTAAACCAAGTTTTATATGGAGAGGCGGAAGTAAAACTTTTGATTTGTCAATCAACGATTCCTTGATTATCTTCATGGATCCAGGTTTCATTGTGTTCCTTTCTGGCCATATTTTTATCCCCTTTTAGAGCAGTTGTCATCGCCCGTACTGTTCATCATGTCAGCAGATTCAGTACCCAAGTAGCAAACTAATGTCACCAAAAAAACGTCAAAATGATGTCATTTTGCCACCTGGGTAGTTTCTATCCGAACATGACTTCATCATGTAATGGATGCAAGAAGTATTCAACTTCTTATAGATCGGAAAAATAAGTAAACATAAACACAAGATCATTGTGTTTTTTACGGCACAAAGACAATTGATGGTCCATTTTTTATTTATCGCATCCAAGTAAAGAGTGCACTATTTACAGTAAATATAGCTTCCTTCTTGCTGTGATCTCGTATTTCAAGAAGGTATGCAAAGTATCTCATAGTATAAATAGGTATAATAGTTCAATACACCAATATATATCATCGGCATAACGTTTCCAATTAAAAATAAAATTTCGTTTAAATTTCAGCCGAGAGTTGAATGATTTTTCCATATAAAGTCGAATTTACCCTGAAATTTCATATATTTTAAGGTTATAAAAAATTGGGATCTGATGGAGTTAAACGGACCTCGGATTTTGATTCAGAGCAGCAACAAACCAAAAAGTAGGGGGGTCTCTCGGACATACTACTTTTGTTTTTTTGTGTAACAGTGTTATTATTATATTATATAGATCAATCAGCTCTACCGACAATATTGCAGTTTCTATCATGGCTCTTGGCGAAGGCTGGCACAATTATCATCACATTTTCCCTTGGGATTACAAAACAGCGGAATTTGGAAATTATGGGTTGAATTTTACCACAGCATTTATCGACTTCTTTGTTTATTTAGGTTTAGCTTACGATTTAAAAACTGCATCCGCCGACATGATAAAAAAACGTTCTCTTCAAAGCAATGAAAATAAGAGTTACTAACTAATCGTGCAAAATTAAAGGATCCCTCGACTGTCTATATTGGTAACAAAATTACGATTTTCATATTTCTAGTCTTTTGTTGCATTAATTTGACAGAATTAAAAATCCTTCTTCAAGATTGCAATACATATCAACGATCCCAAGAAACTCCAATTTTATATGAAAAACGAGAAATGAATACGAAATTACAGTTTTTCTTATCTATGTATTTATATCTTAGTATGGCGTTTCGAATTGCAAATAAACTGTCAACTCATAATGTGTTTTATGATTTCCACGTTAGATCCGCATTGATCCTCTTTTTTCTACCTCTTAGCTTCTTTTTCTTCTCCATCACCTTCCATTTTTGTTCCCCTTTCTCCAATTCTATCATCACTATCTCCTTTTCTTTCTTTCTGTCCTTTCCTATTTTCCTTATTTTCATTATTCTTACCTTCGCCTCTATCTCCTCCAGCAATTTCTCTGCCCACTCTCTTCTTTTCTCTTAACTTCCAATCCTTTTATGACTGTTCTTCCTCCTTTTCTCTTTTTCCATTATCTTTAACCTCCTTTCCATATCCCCTACTCTTTTTTCCATTTCTTTTTCTATGGGTCCCTCTTCCTCTTTCTTACCCTCCCTCCAATTCGCCATCTTTTTCTCCAGCCCTTCCACTCTCCTCTTCATTCCTTCTATATTCTCTTTTAACTCCTTCTCTTCTCTCCATTTTTCCATTTGCTCTCTGTAGTCTCTTCTTAGCTCCTCTCCATCTCTCCTCTTATCCTCTCCCCCTACTTTTTTATTTCCTCATTCAATTTCTCCATCATCTCTTTCACTTCCTGCCACATATCTTGAATTAGTCTCTTTATCTCCCTTTCCTCATCCTTTCTTTTCTCTGGTGATCTCACTATTTTATTATTTTTTTAAAAACCTTTACGCCCTCCTTTCTGTGCTCTTTTCCACCAGCTCCCTTTTTCTTTTCAATAAATTCTCTATACTTTCTAAGCTACCACTTCTTTCTTTTCTTTTTTTACCGTTCACTTCTTCCTCCCCACACAGCACATGTAGATTAGGAAAATGTTCTGAGAATATCGTTAAAGTATATTGAGTATATTCTAAGAATATTCGAAATATGTACTACGATATCAAGTATATACTGAGAAAGTTCCTATGTCTCACCACTAGTTTGCTTCTCAGTACATACTGAAAATATCTTATAGTATATTCTGAGAATATTTTTAGTAAATTATAAGATATTACACATATAAAAAGCTAATAAGAGCAGAAATAATATCACGGTTATATAAACTAGTTTATTACATTTAATCAATATGTACTGATGTAAACAATAAAGTTTAAATTAATCTAAAATTATAAAAATATACTCGAAAGTTAAAACAAATGAGAAAGCAAACGTTTCAATCCAATTTTTCGGATCTTCTTCAGCGCAGTACAAAAAGCAAAATTAAAATCACCAAAGTCTAAATATTTTTAACGTATAAACGTCTAATAAACATATTTAAACGCGGTTACATCAGTAAACGAAATAAAACGTCGTAAGATTAACATTAATATGACTCTCACTGAGCCATCACATTTACGTTACTGTGAGAAGCGATCCTCTCTAATTTTCTGACTACGAGGTTGGCAGGTGTTAAAATATAAAATATTAATCGCATCCTATAAATCAAAAAATTTTCTCATTACACCTCACTAATTATAATATCCAAAATCAAGTGCGTTATAAAACAATAATCTAACACATGGTATAAAAAAATGCTAATAAAAACTTACATATATTTATGATGTGATAATATTTTAATTGTAACAGTAACAAAAGTGACGCTAGTGTAATCCTCATGTCAGTAGAACGGCTCAAAGGAAACTAAAGCTCAGTTGGAAACGAAAAGTGACAAACAATTATAATCATTTTGTATTTGTTATTTAATCTTAGAGTTTAGGTAGTCTCTCTATAGCTTCGATATAAATATCAGATAGATTTTCAGTATTAGTCTGTAGATTGAGACTATTATTTTGTCTTTTTATGTATATCATTTCTGATACTGATCTTTTTCCGTAATATATTTCTTTATCTAAAATATTAATGTTCTTCCAATCAAATTCATGATTAAAATTAACGCGGTGGTCCGTTATTACTGATTTTGTATTAATATTTCTAACTATGTGTTTCTTATGTTCAGAAATTCTTGTGGTCAGTCTTCTACTAGTCTGGCCCACGTAAGAAGCGTCGCAGTTTGAACAATTAATTTTGTAAACAACGTTGGTATTATTCATTTTAGAAATAGTATCTTTATGTACTCGTATATATTTATTTAATTTATTAAAATTAAAAAAAATAATTTAAAATTCATGTTCCTAATAATATTTCTAAATTGTTCCGTCAAACCGGGTAAAAACGGTATAGTGAAAAAAGACGTTTTTTCACTATTATTATTATTGTTACCGTTAATTGTGGTATTTTTTAATTTTTTAAATAAATTTACTAGACGTTGGTTAATAGTATTAAAGATCAAGTCAAGCGGATAACAGTTTTCTAAAAGTATGTTGACAACGGTAACGAGATTCTTATAATGAAATCGTGGATGTGACAATAAAATTGTTCTATCCACTAGACCGTATATAGTTCCCCGCTTTTGACAAAATGGATGCTGAGACAAGAAATGTAAATATCTCCCCGAGAATGTCGGCTTGTGATACCAATCAGTAATTATCTTGTTGTTTTCTAAAATTAATGTCAAATCTAAAAAGTTTATTTTATTATTATCGTCAGTTTCCAGAGTGAATTGGAGTCTATTATGATAAGAATTAAAAATCATAAGTGTGTGGTCAATTAAAGTCAATAGAACAGTCAATACAATGTCGTCAACATATCTAAAGTAAATCGGGGGTGTGAATTTTAACAATTTTGTATTAAATAAAAACATTTAGACTTTGGTGATTTTAATTTTGCTTTTTGTACTGCGCTGAAGAAGATCCGAAAAATTGGATCGAAACGTTCGCTTTCTCATTTGTTTTAACTTTTGAGTTTATTTTTATAATTTTAGATTAATTTAAACTTTATTGTTTATATCAGTACATATTGATTAAATGTAATAAACTAGTTTTTATAACCGTAATATTACTTCTGCCCTTATTAGCCTTTTATATGTGTAATACTTTATTTGAATTAAAGAGCATTTAATTAGTATATTGTTTATCACACGCAAACTGAAATAATGCGTTCGACATATTTTTCATTTTTTATGTATATTGAAATTTGGTTTGGTTTTGAAACGATAAAATTATTAAAACGATGGATTAAGATTCGGAAAATTATTATTATTAACAGACTTAAAATGTTCTGCGGCGACTACAAGGGCAAGACGGCGATGGCTCGCAAACAGCTCGTCAGTGAACACAAACTCTGCTCAAACTGCCTTGGACGCCATCAGTTTTCGGAGTGCGCGTCGAAGAAGACGTGTACAGCGTGTGGCAGTCAACATTACTCCTCGCTTCACGACGCCTTCCGGGCAGCCGAGCCCTCTACGACTTCACATGTGGCCCAAGGTACACATTCTTCCTCCGCTACGGTGCTGCTCGCCACGGCCAGGGTCCGCGTCCTCGACTGCCACGGATCTTGGCAGTCCGCTCGCGCCCTAATCGACCAGGGATCCGAATCATCCATCATCTCGGAACGACTAGCGCAGCGACTACGACTTCCTCGAATAGCAGCCGCCGTGAGTGTCTATGGAGTCGGAGAAAGAAGGACCAGAGTATCAAAAGGGAAGATGAGACTTACCCTACAGTCGCACCGCGGTGAATCGTCCACCCTCGTCGACGCGTTAGTGCTGCCGAAACTGACCTTGTTTTCCGGAGGATGCCACAGCAGTATGAGCGCTTGGACCCATCTGAAGGACCTGGAGCTCGCCGACCCGGAATTCAGCTCCTCGGATTCCGTCGACATCCTGTTGGGAGCCGACGTATATGGGACCATCATTCGCCAGGGCCTACAAAAGGGAGGTCCTCAGGAGCCTGTAGCGCAACAAACCTCGTTGGGCTGGATCCTTTCGGGTACCGTTAACTCGACGGCGCCCGGCCAACGTGTTTCCACTCACCATTGCCAAATCGAGGAGGACATCACCTGCTTGGTGCGGCGGTTCTGGGAGCAGGAGGAAGTTCGCCGGCCATCTCCGATCCTCACCAAGGCCGAACTGGAGTGCGAAGAACACTACCGCCGACATCATACTCGCTCTCCAGATGGCCGGTACATCGTGCGGCTGCCAACAATCGAGTCTATCCCTGACCTGTCGGGGACTCGACGCGCCGCAAGTCGTGCTCTGCATCATATGGAAAAAAGATTCAAGAAAGAAAGCGACTTCCAAAGCATGTATGTCGATTTTATGCAAAATTACAAGGACCTTAACCATATGATGCCTGCGCCAGAACCTGCTGAATCTCATCGAGGTGCCTGCTACCTGCCGCATCATGGTGTGTTGCGTCCAGACAGCACCTCCACAAAATTGAGGGTAGTCTTCAACGGCTCGAGCTCCTTGCCAAACGGAGACTCTCTCAATAAATACCTCTCAACTGGGCCGAATCTGCTTCCTTCGCTAGCCGACATCTTGCTGCGCTGGCGACGTCATCGTTACGTCTTTGCGACGGACATCGAAAAGATGTATAGGCAGATACTGGTGCACCCCGACGACCAAAACCTGCAAAGGATATTGTGGAGAGAGAACGCCAACGACGAAATCAAGGAGTACTGGCTAGGTACCGTTACTTACGGTCTATCCTGTGCTCCTTATTTGGCGATCCGCACTTTACGCCAACTGGCCGAGGACGAAGGACATCGCTACCGGAAAGGAGCCCTCATCCTGCTGAGCGACGTCTACATGGACGACATCCTGGCCGGTGCGGAGACCATGAAGGAAGCCGAAGTCATGCTGCAACAGCTGATTGACATCTGCAAAGCGGGCGGCTTTTCACTTAAAAAGTGGTCGGCAAACGACTCGCTATTGCTGAACAAAGTGGAGCCCGACGACCGTCTTCGACAAGAGGCCAGATGGTGGCTGCCCGGAGAGAGTCACTCCACTCACGGACTTCGATGGCAACCGTGCAACGATCGTTTCGCCTTCGCCACTCATCAGATCACCCTCTCGGCGGTCACCAAAAGATCGGTCCTCTCCTTGACGGCGAAGTTGTTTGATCCACTCGGCTGGCTGTCTCCAACTACCGTGCTGGCCAAGATCAACATCCAAACGATCTGGCTACTGGGCCTTGACTGGGACGCGTCTCTGCCAACCGAGAAAGCGAGGAAATGGCTGCGTTTCCAGGACGAGCTAGCTGCAGTGGAAAACCTGAGTGTGCCTCAATGGTTAGGCAGTATAGCGGACTCCCATCAGGAAATTCACGGGTTTGCCGATGCCTCCGAACGCGCCTACGCCGCCGTCCTCTACCTGCGAACCAACACCAACGAAAGTAGCAGAGTGACGCTGTTGGCTGCGAAGACCAAGGTGGCTCCATTGAAGCAGGTATCCTTACCTCGTTTAGAGTTATCGGCCGCCTGTCTTCTCGCTCGACTGGTCGCCCATGTCGTCCCTCTTATTGGAGCAGAGAAGGCACCTCTACACCTGTCGTCAGACTCCACTGTGACGCTCGGTTGGATTCGGGGTCACCCCTCGTCGTGGGTCACTTACGTGGCTAACCGAGTGAGCGAGATCCAGACGCTAACTCCAGACGCCCACTGGCATCACGTCCCCGGCCGAGATAATCCCGCGGACTACGCTTCCAGAGGACTCTACCCCAGCGAGCTGGAGGACCACTCACTCTGGTGGCAAGGTCCGTCGTGGCTGTCAGCCGGGAGCCACCCTTGGACGACCAACAGCGAGGAGCTTCCAGAGGATGACCTCCCAGAGAGGCGAGTCCGCACCCACGTCACCGCCATCGCCGAACTGAGGACCGAACATGAGATGCTGCTCCGATACTCCTCGCTACAACAATTGCCCCGGATCACAGCGTGGTGCCGTCGCTGGTTGCGGATCCACCGTCAGCCCCACCACGAGCACGGCCAGCTCGGCTTGATCAGCGCCGACGAAATCGAGGAAGCCCGGATCTCCTGGTTAAAGACAGTCCAGGCTGCAGCATACAAAGAGGAAATTAGGCATCTACAAAGGGAGCAACCCCTGCCGTCGCGAAGCTCCCTGCTAAAGCTCAGTCCATTTCTGGACAGCGAGGGGCTCCTACGCGTCGGCGGGCGCCTGAAACATGCTCAGCTCCCATTCGATGCCACGCATCCACCAATACTACCAAGCAAATCGAACTACACTTGCCTCATCATAGACGACCACCACAAGCGAACGCTGCACGGCGGTACCCAGCTGTCTTTGTGTTCTCTTCGCCAGGAGTATTGGGTTCCTCGCGGTCGCTCGCTGGTGAAGAGCCGCATCAGCCGCTGCGTAAGGTGCACAAGGTGGCGGGCCGCCACTCCTCAGCCACTGATGGGAAATCTTCCCGCTCCAAGGGTCACGCCAGGCCGGCCGTTCCTGCATACCGGCGTAGACTACGCCGGACCGGTTTGAATGCGAACAAAGAGCCGTGGACACAAGACGACCAAAGGGTTTATCGTTGTGTTTGTTTGTTTAGCCTCCAGGGCAGTCCACCTCGACGCCGCCTCTGACTACACCGCCGACGTCTTCCTCGCCTCTTTGCGCCGATTCATCGCCAGGAGAGAAGTATGCCACTCGTTGTATAGTGATTGCGGCACCACCTTCGTGGGTGCCGACAAGCAGCTAAAGCAACTGTTCTCCACCGCCAGTGCCGACGGACGCCGCATAGCATCTTGTGCCGCCCAGGAAAAAATCCGGTGGCATTTTAACCCACCGGCGGCACCTAACTTCGGCGGCTTGTGAGAAGCCGCCGTAAAGGCCATGAAGCATCATCTTCGGCGAGTCATAGGTGAAGCAACCCTTACCTATGAAGAGATGGCGACCCTACTCGCCCAGATTGAGGCCTGCCTCAATTCTCGACCGCTGCAGCCATTGTCTGACGACCCGGAGGATTTAGCAGCGCTGACACCCGGTCACTTCCTGGTCGGCTCCGCTCTCGCGACGATCCCCGAGCCGTCGCTCGAACGAGAGCCGTCGGCCCGTCTCTCCCGGTGGTAGCTCCTGCAACAAATGAAGGACCATTTCTGGTCTCGGTGGGTCAACGAATATTTAAACACGCTGGCCCATCGACCGAAATGGTCCCGAATTAATCAGGAGGCTCGCGTCGGTCGACTCTGCCTAGTACGGAACGAGATCACTCCACCAACACGGTGGCCGCTTGCGCGCATAACGCGTCTGCACCCCGGTTCCGACGGTAACGTTCGCGTAGTCGACGTCCGCACCGCGGGCACTAATTTAACGCGACCCGTAAATAAGCTAGTCTTTCTGACCGACGGCTCCGAAGCCTCCCCGTAATTAAAGGGCACGCGTCGCATAATTTTTGTCTTGAAACTCTTCGTTGATCCATCTTCACATTCACTTGCACATCAATCATCACCTCACTCTACTCATTGCTCCTCTCTTCTTATCCCTACACCCCTCTCCTCGCTCCACTATTCTTATCACAATCACGACACATACACTATCACTATACGCCATATTTTCTCAAAGATCGAAATTCTCACGGTCTGCGCCACGCTTTAGCCTACACGCTACTAACCATTACACTCGAGAATAAACAGCTGATCGATTCAGCATTCCTTTGCCTAAACCGGCGGAGCACGTGCGCTCCACGTGTGCTTTACGCGCGAACGCGTGAACAAGCTCGCGCCCCCACGCTCTAGCTTCTAATTCGATTGCAGTATACTGCAAGGCGGGCGGAATGTTCGAAAATCGAACGTCAAAAAAGCTGAAAATTCTTAAAAACATTATTAATTAAAATTCATACAGGCTTTTCATTCACATGCAACATGCATCATGCTTAATTTTATATTAATATTATTTTCAAATAGCGCTCGACCGCACAGATATACGTATACCCCGCGCCTGCGAAAAGAAAGCGCTTTCGTCAAATCTCATATAATGGTAAACACCGCGGTCGCGCGAGAGGAGATACAATTTAGTTCCCGATAATAACAAAACGACTATTTTCCTGAAAGTAAACAATTGCACTAAACGCTCTTTCGTCCTCAGCCGAACGATAAAATTAAGAAAATCTTTCTAGACTCTTCTAGAAATACGGGCCTATATAAACCTCCTCTCTCGTGATCGCGGCGCTTTTTTCCGATTGCTTGTCGCGTCAAGAGTGTGCTTCTACTGAACGAAAAAGATCGCTTGTCTTTTTCGTTTTATCACGTTTAATTACCGTTGCTTGCGGAACATTTAGTTATTAATTACCGACTCGGCTATTTCTTTTGGTTTATTCTTGTCAATCAATTCTCGGGAAATTTCTGTGTGGTTTAAACAATTGTAATTTTTGTTGTTCTTAGTTTAAATATAATTTTTGTTCACGTTACGCGTGTGTCGAGTGCAGTGCTTCTCTATCGTCTCGCTTCCGACCTTCCTTTCCCGCTATCCGTTGTGCACAGAAATATTAATACAAAATCAGTAATAACGGACCACCGCGTTAATTTTAATCATGAATTTGATTGGAAGAACATTAATATTTTAGATAAAGAAATATATTACGGAAAAAGATCAGTATCAGAAATGATATAAACACTATAATTAGATGTGTTTCGCGCGCGCGCGTGTGCGTGCGTGCGTGTGTGCGTATATGTGTGTGTGTGTGTGTGTGCGTGCGTGCGTGCGTGCGTGTGTGTGTGTTTTTTTTTTCTTTTTTTTTTAAGGCGCGGAAATACATTTACGTATTCCAGGCATATATGTTTTGCCTGGATATGTGAGACTCGACGCTAGCGCCCATACTCACTAAAACCGCCCCTTTCTTCCAGCCTCTGAAACCCCCACGGAAACCGCCGTTAGGCATTACTTCGCAGGAGAAGGAATTAGCTGCCGCTCTCTTTTCTGTTGGCTAAGGTGTTATTTCTATCTTCCTTTTAGCTACTGTTCTTTGCTCTTCTTCTTTCAGTGGAACGCAGCTCTGTTAGCACTTCTGTGGCAAAAATGCTTGAAGCGTTCCAGGCAGCTTCTGAAGACAGCATTGCTTCTGCTATTAACTCTGGTTGGATTCTCTTGTTCAGGATCTTCTCTAATTCATCACGCTGTGGATTGAAACGAGGACACACAAAGAAAACGTGCTCCGCATTTTCAGCAACTCTTGGGCAGGACGGGCACTCCGGAGAATTATCGTGCTTGAAGCGATGTAGGTACTCCCGAAAGCAGCCGTGTCCTGACGACAGCATCTGTGTAAGATAGTAGTTGACCTCGCCGTGACTCCGGTTTAGCCAAACATCAATCCGAGGTATGAGACGGTGCGTCCATCTCCCCTTCTCTGCAGCATCCCATTGATGTTGCCATCGTGCGATACTACGTTGCCGCTCTTCTGTTCTAAGCTCCTCAGCGCTTAGTGTGGTTGATCTCCTTCGATGGTAAAGGGCCCGTTTTTCCTCAGCTAGAACTCTAAGTGGCAGAGTTCCGGAAATGACACACACTGCTTCCTCAGATATTGTGCGGAAGGCGCTGGCTACTCTTAAGGCACTCAGACGATATACTGGTCCAGCCTTTCTCCATGATTCTTGAGTCTCGAGAGCGTCCGCTCAAATGGATATTCCATATGTGAGCACTGATGTGACTACTGATGACAGTAGTAGTCTTCTGCTCTGCTTTGGGCCTCCGACGTTCGGCATCAGTCGTGCTAAGCTAGCTCTCACTACTGACGCTTTGGAACTGACGTGTTCGACTTGCTGTTTGAAGTTAAGTCGGGCATCAATCATCACTCCCAGATATCGGATAAATGGTTGCGATGTGATTTCTTGTTCTCCGACTTTCAACTTAATCGTTTCTACTGTCTTCCTGCTGGTGATGAGCACTGCCTCAGTCTTGTGTTGAGCCAATTGCAGGTTTGCTGTGTCCATCCAACGGTTAACTCGCTCGAAGGTGATATCGAACATGTGGTTAATCTCGTCAAGGTGTTTGGCAACGATCACTACGGCTACGTCGTCTGCATACGCTACGAGTTTGACGCTTCTTGGCAGTGTCAGCCTTAATAGACCATCATACATAATATTCCACAGGAGCGGGCCAATAACTGAACCTTGTGGTACTCCTCCAGTAATATCATACTCCCTCGGGCCGTTCTTCGTGTCATACTTCAGGACCCTATTCTCAAAGTAGCTTGCTGCAATCCTAAGAAGGTATCCTGGTACGTTCTTCTCTTGGAGAGCCTGCATAATACAGTCCCAATTGGCGGAGTTGAAGGCGTTTCTGATGTCTAACGTGGCCACCAGGCAATATTTCTTCGTACCACCCTTCCATCTAGTTCCTGCGATTGCTTCTTTAGCCGTACCCACAACCAGATTTATCGCGTCCAGGGTTGATCGTCCTTTGCGAAATCCATACTGATTTTCTGCCAAGAGTGGATCGACTACTGCCTCAATCCTCTGGTGAATCATGCGTTCATATATCTTACCCGCTGTGTCCAGCATGCAAAGTGGGCGGTAAGATGACGGTTCATCCGGTGGCTTCTTTCCTTTGGGAAGCAGTACTAATCGTTGCTGCTTCCACTTTCGAGGAAAAATCCCTTCTTTGAGACATGTGGTGTAAACGTCCAGGAATAATGCCGGTGCCGCCTTTATAGCTGTTTTTAAGGCAATATTAGGGATTCCGTCCAATCCCGGTGCTTTATTATTCCCTACACGATTACAAGCCTCCATTAATTCTTCTTCCGTGACAGGTGAAATGTCCTCCAGTTCGTCATAAGCCAACCGGTAGCTGACTTCACGCTGTTGTGGAAATAGCGCAGCAACGATTTTCCGCAGGAGTTGTGGGCATGTGGGTGAAGGCATTGGCTGGCTTCGTAGGTGGGTCATGACGACCTTGTATGGCCTACTCCACAGGTCTTTGTCCACCTCGTTGATGAGCTCCTCCCAGCATTTTCTCTTGCTATCCTTGATGGCTTTGTTTAGTAATCGACGAGCTTTTTTATACTTCGCAACCAGCTCCGCAGAGTCAGGTCGTCTGTAGCCACGCTGCGATATTCTCCTTTTTTTGAGACACTCTTTTCGAAGAACGCTGATGTGATCATTCCACCAGTACACTGCCAGGCGTTGGCCCATGCTACGTTTCCGAGGCATACTTACGTTACAGGCCTGGGCAACTCTCTTCATCAAATCCTTGGTCATTTCTTCTGCGGTTCCAGTCGTAATCGGTTCACTATTTAGGGCTATGACCAATGCACTTGGGTCAAAAGACTTTACTTTCCATCCAATGGTGTTGAGTTTCTTGATTGGACTTCTTGTATTCTGGTCATGTGATAGTTCCCAGAGAATCGCGTTGTGATCGCTGGCCGTGTAGATATCCATCACCTTCCAGTCGTAGTTCCTTCTGATGAGGCTGCTGCTGACGAAAGTGAGATCTACAATAGAGCTTACATCTCCTTTAACATAGGTTGGCGTATCACCACTGTTGATCAGGACTACATCTAGTGTAGTAAAAGCTCCTAGTAGTGCTTTTCCTCGCGCATTCGTCTGCTTGCTGCCCCAGTCCACTGCCCAGGCGTTGAAGTCGCCGGCGATCGCCACTGGGTAGTGCTGCTTCGCGTCCTCAGTCAGTTTGTCCAGGAAGTCGGTGAATTCAACAATGGAGAGGCTAGGTAGTGCGTAACAGCTGTAGAAGCGGGTGCCATCTACT